AAAGCTATGCCTATTTGAAATATTTTAAGTTCTTTCTTCGACCGAATCATTTTAATGAACGTTAAAACTTTCATATGCAAGCTATTCAAGCACTGAAACATTGGAAAATTTCTAGTTATTTCATTGAGCGATTTGTTCGGCAAAATGTTCGAACTTTTCTATGCAAGCTGTTCAAGCGATTTAACATTGAAACCTTTCAAAGTTTGACTTTGAAAACCAGTTAATTCATGAAGCGAATCAGTTGACGAAAAATTTTAGTTTTTCAATTTAAGGTATTTAAGCATTGAAAATTTGAAATATTTCAACTTGTTTAATAGACCGAATCACTTTGCGAAATGATCAGATTTTATTAATCAAGCTTTTGAAGCTATGAAATTTGGAACTATTTCGATTTGCTTCTAGACCAAAACATTTTCTAGACCAATCAGTAGGCAAAAATTTTAAGTTTTTCTTTTGAAACCATTATTCAAGTTATTCCATATATCAAATAGGTAATTTGTCAGGCTAGCTATTTAATCTGTGAACTTTTTCAAGTAATTTCATGGAGCGAGTCAGTTTACACGCAAGCTATAAACGGTCTGTATTTAGTAGACAAAATCGGCTCGCGAAAAGAATAAATTTATCTAGGCAATCCATTCAAACTATGAATTATATCAAGTTTTTTTAAAGACCAAATCGGTTTGCGAAAGTATAAATTTTTCTCAGCAAGCTTACTCGATTTATAAGACTTCAAAACATTTCAAAATATTTCGTAGCGGAAATAGGGCCAAAAATTGGGTTATTTCAGTAAAATAATTAAAATTATTTCGCAGTGCGAATCGGTTCGCAAAATATTTAAGGTTTACCTAGCAAACTATTCAAGCACGGAAATAATTTAAGTTGTTTTATAGACCGATTCATTTAGCAAAAACTTTTTTAAACAATCTTTCAAACTTTTTTTGCAAAAATTTTTTTTTAAACAACCCATTCAAGCTAAAAATTGATGCATCTTTTTTTTTCAAAGACCAAATCGGTTTGCCGAAATTTAAATTTTTCTACGCAAGCTATTCAAGCAATGAAAAAATTCAAGTTGTTTCATGGCGTGAATCGTTTATCAAAAAAGTAAATTTTTCTAACCAAGCTAATCACGCAATTGAAACTTGAAACAGTTCAATTTATTTCATAGACCATGTCTGTTCGAGTAAACTTCATTTTTTTCTAAGCAGGCTGTTCAAATTGAATCGAGTGCATTTCGTTCATAGTTTCAGAATTTTTCAAAAAAGTTGTAGAATATTTCAGATTTTAGACTATAAGATGGTCGCTCTAAATGATTCTTAGACGTTCAGGACGCTCTGATTTAAACGCTGCGCTCGATAGTCCCTGCAACATTAGGTCTCATGCTAAATTGATGTCATTCGTTTAATATATAAGATAAGATAAATCACTGAATAATTCAACCGCTTTACTTGCACCAAATGATTTGTCAAATTAACAATATATAGTCATAGAAACAAAAAACTTGCAACATTAGGTCTCATGCTAAATTGATGTCATTCGTTTAATATATAAAATAAGATAAATCACTTAATAAGTCAACCGCTTTACTTGCACTAAATGATTTGTCAAATTAACAAAATATAGTCCTAGAAACAAAAAACTTGAATCCTTTTTGTCAACAGAAAGTAAAATTTTCCACTGCTTTAATAACGATCGAACCACCGTTAGCGGTTAATATGAGACATCACTCTACTTCATAGGACGTGTCTTTGAACTACGTGATTACGCAAGAAAAGACACACGAGACGCCTTAGCTTCTACAGCCGTAACAAAGCATTTGATTGTCGAGAACAGTATTAGGTCTAAACATTTTACAGAGAAAACAAGAAACACGAAAAGAAAACCAAAACTTAACATACAAAATGTCGAAAACAAAAAAGATGCCTCCCACTACGGGTTTAAACCTTCGCACATGAAACATCGAAATTTCATTTCAAGTGCCCTAACAAAATGCGCCATCTCGCTATAATTACCTGAATAACTATAACCAGGATCCAAAAGAGCCAATTTGGTGGCGCTAAAAATTGCGTCTTGGGTTTCAAAAAGTTTGGATTCATAAAAAACACAAGTGTGCTTGTTCATTAAGACTTTAAACCAAAGAAAAGCAGAGTAAAAATGCTTGTTGCAAAAATAAAGTATCATTTCTCAGACCAAAAAAATTATCGGACCAAAAATTTCCCTGAAGAGCTAAAAAGCTCGTATTATGGTCTTGATCTTTATCTGGCTCATTAGAACTTCGAGAAACACTATCGATAGAAACAGAGGTGCTTGAAGCCAACTCTTCAAATTTTAAGTTCAAACTATAGCGTGACTCGCATTGCGGAGCTTCAAACAGAACAAAGGTTGCAAAAAGGAAAAATGAAGAACTGAAAAAATGCTTCCTGAAACAATTATTAAAAAAAGCAACAAAAATTATTCTAACCGCAAACAAAGATTCCAAGCTTCGCAAACACTAGTGAGAACACGACAAGAAGCAGCTCTACAAAGTGCAATAAAAAAACAGAAAAAAAATTCGGCTACGTCTGAAATTCGAACCTGCGACCTTGATATAAAACAGTCTCTCACACTAACCACTCAGCAATGGACGCCTAATAGGAACAAAACACTAGCCACAAACAAAGCAAAAAACAGATGCTATGGAATTTCCAATGCTACAGTGAAACTTCCAAATAAGTGAACAGTTTAAATGAACAACTTCATGTGCGAGATGGGTTAGAAAAAATAAGGTTCGTGATAATACACTAAGCTGATTGCAGTGTGAATAGACAAGTCAATACAACGGAGTTTTCTATTTCATGAATTGAACGATTTTAAACAAAATCAACTTTAAGGCTGTTAATGACTAAAATGGTAATATCTCCCTGCGTTTCAATCAATTTCAAAACCGAAAAAAAACACCAATAAAGCCGACAGCGTACATGTGCACTTTCCATATTTTTAACAAGCACAAAATTGAATAGTATATTTTGTATAACAATTGATTTCTTATATGCGATTTGAGCTTAAATTTTGTAAGCCCGTCTATATATATCATTTGCAGCCATAAAACCAGCGTAATCTAAAATTTAAAATCAAACCTTTTTTAAACTTATTCTTAAGCATTGAGTCTTAAGCATCGATGATTTTTTTGAATTCAGAAAAACATTGAAAAGTTTTGAAGAAACACTTCAATCATCATATCGCGGTAACCAAAACTTTTTGCGTAAAAATAATTGGAGGCCACGTTTTCAGTACCAGGGAGTATAGGGTTAAAAACCTAGGGTTAAAATTTTGTGAAATATTTTTTTGAATTAAGTTTTAGAAAAATCAATAAAAAATATCACATCTCAGAAACTAAAAGTATTCAAGCAGTCATAATTGGACGCAAAAAAATGGAATATTTAAAATGGAATAGTCTGTGTTAAAAATTTTAGCATTGGCTGTACTTAATAGCTGGTTATTGTTCCGACTTTCGATACGAAAGTAAGGGAATATTTGTGCTCGGGGTGGGTTTTTTTTTCTTCAGACAAATTTCGACTTATTAACTAGCCATTTTTGACGGAATTTTTTATATCATTCGAAAGGTATTGTTGACCTGAGCTTAAATTTGAAAAAATATTTCACATGTGATCATTTTTCGTAAAGTTATGGGGGTTTAAAGATTGCGATTTTGGCCAATTTGGGACAATTAAAGCGCGATATGTTGTGCGCTATTTACGCGTAAGCGGAGATTTAATCCGTCTTAGAAATCGTTCCAAATTGGTTGCAAGAAGCTTATTTGCCATAATTGATTTGTTACAAGGAGCGAAATCTATCCTTTTGTACCTTATATGGCGTGTGGGGCGATGAATTTATTAAAAAATTTCAAATTTTAGAAGAAAAAAAATTTAATTCTATTTTTACTACATTTTTTTCATGTTATTACTGCTTCATAAAGCTTAAAAGGCAGTCGGAACATTCAGGGTTTCGCCCTGATACGAGCAGTCTTGTTGGTCTTATGTACACACTGCAATAAGAGAACACTCTCAAAATGAACACTAATATTTGCTACTTAGGTTGGAAAAAGGAGATAAAAAGGAGACTTTGCTTGTGTAACCATGCGTATGATTCAACCATGCTGATTACCATTTGAATATTCTGTGGCCAAAGTTATTTACGCGAAAAAAGTTTAGTGCCCGATTGCAATACCCTTGCTTATCCGCAAGGGTAATCACCAAAATCATCATATCTCGTGAACTAAAAATAATTGGGCAGTCCAATTTTGAGGCTAGATTCGCAACCCTGGGAAAATCACGAAAGTTATCACCATAGGGTTGTTTATTTCAGACAACGTCAAATGAACACTGAAACAAAAGTAACACTGTGTGCGTTGTGCATCAAAAACTTTGCCACAGATGTATGGTAATTGTACATAGGCATTCTAACATGTCGAAATAGGCACTTCTTAAAATGTTTAAAAAGGAAAGCCAAAAAAATAATTCATAGATGATCTATATACATCTAAAAAAGGATCAATTGAGCAATATTCCCCCTGAATAACCATTAGAGCTTCCCCTTCCCCAAATAAAACTCACAAAAAATAATTCAAACTATTGTCAAACGGTTATCAAGATGCATCAAGTACCTATTGAGTTATCTCAAACGCGGAAATGGAAAATGATCGCTCACTTTATCTCTTAACTAGTCTTCAATATTTATGCTACTTCTTTAACACTCCATATGAAAAATTTATTTTGTACGAAGTTAATTCAGAAAAATAAAAATTTCATAAACATTACTAAGAAGAATTCTCAAGTATTGCGTGTAAACAGGCTTATTAGCACCAAAGAGGTACATGTGCAGAAAGTACCGAGCATGCGAACCCACCAAAACTACTTTCAAGACTTTTTCAAAACATCAGATTTCTTTTTTCCAAAATGACAAAACTTTATTTTGAAAATCTCTATTTTTTCTTTGTTTCAAATTCATTTATGTATCCCGTGCAATTTCAGCCAAAAAAATTGAAACTATATTCGCATACTCCTTTTAAATTCAGCAGAAGAAGCAACTAAGTCACATGATAATTGAAAATGAATGCGGTGAATTACTAAGAATTGCGTGAGACATTATGAGTCCATTTCAGTCCTCTAAGCAATCCGACTCATTACATTGATGGTCGTAAAAAGCTTTCAGTGAGTAAAGCAAGCTAACGTGTAGTCTCGCAATGCACACTAGAAGGTTGATTGCAAATCGCTCGTGTTTCGAGAAACATTTCAGGGACTCGTTTATAAGTGTATCGGTAATACGGTCCGGGTAACACGCAGCCGCTTTGACGAACAACTTCAAATCCACCTTCAACACTTTGTTCACGTTTTCGTGATCAAAATCCTGGAACTGAATTCCGAATAAAATGTGAACATAGTTCCAAATATGGTCTTTGAATTCGTCTGAGAACAACTGAAGAGTTGATGTTGATTTGATCAGGTCGTCAAAAGAGGAAGCAACTGATTTGGCACCGCTTTTTGAATTTGTCGAGGGTAAAAGTGACGATACTAAAGAATATCCGTCCGTTTCCCAATTAAATTGCTCGAATAAATTGTAAGGTTGGTGAACTTTTGGAGTGGAGCTTTCAGTGCCTTCGTATCTTGAGACCCCGAACATACAACCTATACGACCACGCTCAAACTCCCTACTCGATTTTTCGGTTCTTCTCGGTTTGAAGTCCGAGTACTGCGTTTCTAGATTATCAGTGACGAACTTGGACGCTTCTGTTACGAATTCTCTGGTTTTGATTTCAGTCGCACTTTTAGACCTCATACGTCTAAAGTATTGCAGCAAGGTTTTGTGGTTGCCAGCATTACACGTTAAAGGCGACTCCGAACAATTAATACCTGGAAACAAAACCGAAACTGCATTTTAGAAAACAATTCAAAATTCCAGTTTAAAAGTCAAAACTATATTTCGGAAAACAACAAAATTCCATTTTGAAAGCATACAAGTGGATACGCTCTCCGTGACTCGATCTGTCTTGCTACTAGTTTTTCTGATAAATCAACTTAAATTCCGAAAAAATGAAGATATCGTTTGGATTGGTTTCAATATTTACCGCGCACCTCCACGAACTTTGTCTTTACAATAACAAAGAATATTCCATCAATGTAGTGGTTGAATAAAAATTCAGAAAATAAATCGAGATTCGGTAAAAAAAAGGATCTTAGTAAAAAAGGATCTTAAAGAAATAACCTCGCTTGGATTCCATTTCGTCTACCAGCGGCACTTCGAATGCCACTTCTTTGATCTTGGCCGTCATCTGTGACGAAGTCTCCACTAGCGTGTCGAGAGAGATGTCTTTTGAGATTACAATTGTGCAGAAACTGTGAAAGAAACAGAGAACCAGAGTTGCATGCAGTGCTTCTGAGTTGCTCCAGTTGAGTGCAGCTAATTCGGCGAAACTGGCCGCCGTGACTTTCCAGGGGTGATGTGCTAACATGATGTTGAGTTCGCTGAGAGCCTTAAGACAGTGATGCTCATTTCACAGATTTTACGAAAAAAAATTCATTTATAAACTATTACTATTCCTTGATTTTGGATTATGCACTCCCTATAACACGTGCAAGTGGTGAAAAATTAAAAACCATGGGTTCAACAATAGATCGAAAAATGAACCTTTAAGAGACCGGGAAATATTTCAAACAATTGGCTGGAAATGCATTTCAGATGTTTGTATCTCAAAAACTTGATTGCCTCATAAAACCTGCGAGCGTATTATTTAAAACATTCAAATTCGGCAGATTTCCTGACATTGATTTAGGCATATTAATTCCTTTTTAAAATAACAAATAACTACCGATATTTTTGTGTTAAATAACTTTTAAAAGCGCTCGTAACTTTTCTATATATAACGTATACGCCACTCTGTTGTCATTCTATTAACCTGGTTGCAAACGGAAGTGAATTCTATAGTATGTTTTCACAATTGATGCAAGCTCATACACTGTCGTACCAAGTTAACACTTCAGGCGTTTTGGGTTAAGGATTTTAACTTGGTTCTAAGTTTCATTTATCAGCCAATCAGGATCGAATATTTCACACACAGCGACGCTGAGCAAATTTAGTCCAAGCTAAATGGTGGATGGGAGATGTTAACTTGGTCGGGGCAGTACAACAGTTCCGAAGTACAACAGTGCCGAAAAATAAAATTTAGTTCAACAGTGCCGAAAATGAAAACTTTGTTCAATAGTGCCGAAAATATGAACAAATTTCAAAATATTAAGTGTGGCAAACAAAAATTAAACGGCGAACGTTTACAATCTTAAGTGGTACTTAAATATTTTGGGAAAATTTGCAATTTAGACGTTTTGGCGACAAAATAATTGGGGGCTATTCTCATGCGCGAAGGACCCAATGCGCGAAAAAACTTAGGTGCGAAAAACCGTTGTTGTCATTCAATTAAAAAGAAGTAAACGAAGAAACAGTTTGCATCTTTCATTACTTGTCCCAATTTTGCGGCGGTCAATGATAATATTAAAGTTTTGCATGTTTCTGCCGTTTTTATATTCGGCCAATCTCAATACCCCAGTCCCTGGAAATGTTTACTTTCTTTCCAAGTTTTAGATTACTGAAATCTGATTGGCTGATTTATATTTTCGCGCCTTCGGACCTTCGCGCATGAGGCATTCCACCAAAATAATTGTTTTTAATTTGCAGTTGCAGACGGGGGTTGAGAAATTAGACGATAAGCAAATTAGACGGAGGTATTTAAAAGGAATATAGACGATTTTGCAAAACTGCAATTGTGAGAAAATAGACGAAAGTGTGAGAGATAAAAATTGTTCGCAGACAAATTGCGCGAGAAAAATATAATTGTTTGCAGACAACAGTTAAATTTCGGTAGCCAAAAATTTTACAAGTCAATCATGCATAATTTATTCAATTCAAAACTCTTGTAATATTCGGATTTGACATTTTTTTGTTAATTTAAACTAATTGTTTTGATAGGTATTGACATTTTATGTTCTTTTTGTATTTGTGCAACTTGACTCTTAAGAAAAAAAGGCTCTTTTTCCTTTACCCCCCACCTGCAAATTTTTATATTTGAAGTTGCTGTTAACTTTGTCCGATTGTCATGAAAATTGCCATGCAGACTAATTAGGCCATGACAAACATATTTGGTCTTCATAATTAACCTTGTAAAACCACTCGTTAGACCATAAAAATCATGTTTGAGTGAGGTGGGGGGAAAAGGAAAAAGAGCCGAAAAAAAATTTGTTGGCCCTTTCCTTTTCATAGCTTTTTCGTCTAAAATGCCAGATCTGTAAAAAATAAATTCCGTCTAATTTCGTTTTTGTAGCATCCGTCTAATTTGCTTATCATCTAATTTCCTAGGCCCCGTTGCAGACATTTTGGCGCCGAAATTGGAGTGATTTTCTTTGATAATTAGCGTCAGTAATTTCTCGCTCTTTAGAAAATGCGTTTGAATTATTCGGAAATTTTCCCGCCTTTTTCGGCACTGTTGTACTTCGGCACTGTCAAACTATCCATCCATCATTCAGCTTAGATAAAAATTGCTCATCGCTGTTGTGTGAAATACTCGATCCTGATTGTGTTTGAAAGTTGCAGAAAGATACGCTTCTTTTTTTTGAATACTAGAATATGATATGTCACACATTTTCTATTTTAAAAAATGCTAAGCAAATGGAATGATACTTGCTACCCCCCACCCCCAAGCATGCATTTTTGTTCTTAATCAGCTGATTGCTTTTAAAATAATTTAGCCTCACCGAGCCTTTTGTAACAAATTATACCAATCGAGCTCTCATAAGTTTTAGTGAAAAACTTATTTAACTATTCAGATTGATCATGAACTAGTCAACTTGACCAGAAAATCAAGCTGGTTAAATGTATCTCGAAACTAATCATATCTGCCTTAGCTTGGTGTATGTTTATCCCCCATCCTTCCCGTGTCTAGTAGTAAGGTACCTTTAACGCTATTACAACAGACGTGTTCGGTGAAAAAATCATTACATAAACTAATTAAATGGATCTTGAAACTAGTCATCTCTGCCTTTAGCTTGGGAGGCACTGCTGAGAGGCCTTTGTTCAGCCACTGCATGACGTGTTTGGATCTCACTCGCAGACTCCTCAACTCCTCCTTCGCCTCCTCCACTAGACTCTGCTTCAGAAATCTACACAAGCAACAAACGCTCCTACATGCTAACCTACATGTACTTTTTCAAGCAACACTACTTGTCATTTACATGTAACAGTTACCTTTTCAAACAACATTTCTTGGGCCCCATGTGAATAATCTCCCCCCTAAATAAACCCAAGCGAACAATCCCACCCCCTCCCCCCTAAATTTAATGACAAATCCAAACAGTAAGGCCTGCATGTACTCTGCTCAAATTTGATTGTCAAAAAGTAATGCTTTTGATCCATTGAACTATCTCCCCCTGTTTTGATTAAGAAGGAGATCATTATTTTGGTCCTATTTCTTGCAACTTATGGGCATTTTTATTCAAAAAAAATCTTCTTGCCACCGAGTCGCTAATTTGTAGATTGAAAGAAACTATTTCAAAAAAAATGACTATTTTTATAACGCTTGGTAATTGCAAGCGTAATTAACCTGCAATTAAACCACGGTGCATATAAAACATACCTATAGATACAGATAATAACTTAGAGCTGCAGAATTTTAGTGCAAAACCTCAAACAACTGCCTCAAAATGTCCTTCAAAAATCTTAAAATAGCCACAGACAGTTGGAAAGGTATATATGAACTCAAGGAAACCAAATAGGAAAAACTACATCACTTCAAAGCTCTTTGAAACTCGAGAACACAATGATTAACAATTTCTAATTCAGCAATCTAATCCAGAAACTAATCCAATTTCGAACTCAAAGTTAATCATGTTTTTTTTTCATGCCATTACCAATTTTGTGACTGTAGAGCGTAATTTGCTTTCCATTAAAATTTTCCGCAAAAAACGACCGAATAGATTGAAAAAGAAGTTCAATCACACTTAATTAAAGAGTAATTTCCTATTTAGGAAAACATTGCATTGAACTAGTACCTGGATGATGCCATGATGGATATGAATTTGGTCCACTCTTCGGGTAATGAGCTGCATCTTGAGACCATGAGAGAGTCGAAAACGGAGTGGAGACACTGAAAGAGACTAGTTCCCTCTGCGGAGTGGCCATCTAAGTCACCATCAAGGTCGATCCCATTCCTGTCTTCCAGTTTTTCTTCCTCCTCGGTCATGCTCAAATGTCTGAAAAAGTCAATTGAAAATTTCATCCAGCTTAAAAAACATTGGAGACGATTTATTTCCAATTATAGACAGTTCAACCACCTAAGATAGGCTTGCTTTCCAAGTGTATGACGCAAAATTGCATGAGTACGCGAATTTGTTCACGCACCGGCTTAACCTATAATTGTTTTTATTCCTCATTTAAAAGACACATTTTCCATCGTTTTAATCACCTAACAAGAGCTTGTTTTCCAAGTGTCTGACGCAGAATTGCCCGATCCCGCAAATTTGTTCACGTGTCGACTTGACTTAACCTATAATTGTTTTTATTCCTCATTTAAAACACATTTTGTTTATCGCTTTAAATTCTTATGATATCAACGTAAAAATTTTGGCAGCTGCCAAATATGTCTGAAGGAAAAGAAACTGGCTACCATACATTTTTTCAAAAGTCGGAACGAAAACTTCGAGTTGAAAAAAATTCAACAATTTGAAAGAAAGCAAGAACAATTTACGAATTTATGGGTCAAAGCAAGACGAGCTTTTAAATTTATTTAACTAGAATGAGAACGCAGGAAAACTTTTCGAAAAAAAACATCATCCAATTCTAGACGGTTTAAACAACTATTATTGACCACTGAAGTGGGGAGGGGATTTTATTTCTGTTTCATTTTCACGCAAAATTAGGTAAATCGCCAATAATCCTCGGATAGTGTCGAGTTAAATACAATACTTAAATCCTTTCAGTCATGATTTGATCAACACTACAAAATAGTAATTGAGGTGAAAATTTCCTTTTCTTTAACTAATTTAGAATGACAATTATCTTCTGTCGTAGTTGAATTTGATTTTTTCGATTTCAACACAAAAACATAGCCAACAGACAGTTGAAAAGAGTCAGCCAACAGAACAGTTGAACGCAAGCTAAACAGAACAAAAATACTGACTTGATTTCTGAAAAAACTCAACTATCGAAATTCCAAGAAAAAAAGGTGGCCTTAAACCCTTCGAATTTCTAGAACAATTAATGATTGACTTTTTTGATAAACTTAATCTAATTTGAGAAAACTGGATCAATCGTAAAATGTTAATTTTGCTCACAAATCTGTAAATAAATTCCTTTTCGAAATTAGTCAATCACGTTTCTCGCGCCCTTTACACTTTTCATGTTCGATAGTGGAGTTTGCCTTCCCTTTGAGATAAATGAGCTGTGAAGTCAAATCGCAAAAAAGTAAATTTGAGCCTTAAAAAAACACAAAAAAATCATTGGAATCTATAGAAAAGTCTCAACTACGTTCACCGACTTTTCAAAAAATTGCAATTTGCAAACACAAAAGAAAAAACCCAAAAAAAGAGCTGTAAAAACTCAGAAAAACGCAAGAAAAAACAAAAAAGCCGAGAGACGTACATATGTACAGCTTGAAAAAGAACGTATGAAAGATCGCGATTAAACTGACAGCCTAACACTTCCCTATCTTTCATTTTACGAAGACAAGAAGCTGCGCTTCGGAAACACCAGCGAAAAAAAAACGACAAAAGCAGCTCTATACAGTGAAACAAGAAAAAAGGTAAAAATAAGCCTGGAAAAATAAAACCTTTGCTGCGGCGGATTTTACAACCAGGAGATTTAGAGTCGCCGGTCCTCGCATCTGCGCCACGAGCCCATGAAAATTTGCTAGCTCTAGCAAAAAAAAACAGCTATATGTGCTAATAAACTGCCAATTCGTTGCACTAAATTGGCACCAAAAACAAATAAACACAATTTAAGTTGTAATAATTTTTAATATAACAAACTGGCTATGCGCACGCACTTCGCAAGGTAAAAACTGGAAATTAGAAAGCCAAAATATGTACAAATTATGCATGTCAGAGATATTGCAAGATTTATTGAGTGGTAAATTTCTGAAATCGAGTTCTAATTTTTGTCCTGTTGTTGAAACAAATAGCTTTTTTCGGTTCATTTAATAAATAAAAAATGCAAAAATTGTGTTAACCTAATCAAATATCAAAGCACATGCTATGAAAAGGCCATAAAAGTGCCAACAAACTTTAGGTTCCGTCACCAAAACTGGATATCTCAAAATAGTACAAAGGGGGGAAATTTAGCTAATACTTTGCTAAGTCAAAAAAAAAAATAAAAATTTTGAACTAGATCTATCGATATGGCTAGTTTGGAAACAACAACGAGCCAAGACAATAGAATGGAAAACTAGCATCGAAAGAAAAAACATCACTCGGTAATAAAGCCCGAAATACCTTTGCAGAAACCCTTTAGGCCGATTTTTTTTAACTATCAAGTCCACCACGCCTTCAAACAAACAAAGGAACACACATACACACACAAACTTTATTCACGCGTCAAATGAAACAATATGCGGCCACTATGTCGATATAGTATTAGCCGATACCCATAAAGCCGAACCAAAAATAAAAAAACAAAGCCGAAAAAAAATTAAGGCTTCTAAAAAGTTAAGTCACCCTCACCCTCAGAGCACATACACAGCTCGGCCAACGACGCAAAATGTGGCGACCAAGCCGATGTTACATAAGCCGAAATCTTTCAAGTCGAAAACAAAAGAAAAAACACAAAAGCCGAAAAAAACTGTTGTCATGAAAAACTTGAACTTTAATTTGTATAAGATTTTAAACATTTTGTACGATCCAGAGGCGGACATCAAAATTATATTTCTCCTGAAGCCACTCGACCACTAAGCCGATATAAAAATGCCGGAGCCTATTAAGCCAAAAAAAAAAAGAAAGAAAATTAATATTTTATTAAATCGAGTTGGAAAAATCACAACCAACATAAAAAGCAAATTTCGGACTGGACGGATATTTAAAACAATAAACTCAACCATGTTTGATATTTGCAATGGAGAGAAGACGGATTTGCACAGAGGACGAAGATATGAAGGAGTCCAGAAGTGAGTCCTGTGGACAAAGTTGTCTACGGGAAAAAAATCTAGTACCCGATTGCAATACCCTTGTTATCGCAAGGGTAATCAACAGACAGTTGGAATAGAGTAAATGACCGCAAACAAAATACGAAAAAAAACTGACTTAATTTTTTTTTTAATACAACTCATATTAAAAGACAACTCGCAATATAATCACAGCCTCATTCGTACCAACGTGTTGCGCGATTGCCAACAGAGAGTGGTCCTTAAAACGAAATTAACAGCCGTTTATCGCTGCGAAGCGATGACGCGACGCCCATCGGCAACCTTGAACCCAAATTCTTCTATGAACTATTTTATGAACTAATTTCTAAACTTTGCGAGTTGTCGCATTCCTTAATTTTTGCAGGTTGTCTTTTGTTACGAGTTGTCTTTTGTTGCGAGTTGTCGCGGTACCGAAAAAAAAAACAAAAGACCCTAAGTCTCTTTCAACTACTGAATCACATTCTTATTGAAACTTTTTTGATAAAATTTACCCAATACAGAACATTCCTTACTCGATAGTATATACTTAAAACAGACAAGAAACAAAAAGTGCAGAAATTTGAAAACTGCAAAAAACAATTACTTTATCTCCGTGCAACTAAGCACAAACTAACTTAACTCTACAGCCAACTGCGATCACTTGCGATACAACAGTCTTAAATATTTACCTACAGGCGAAGTCTACAGAATCTCTTAATGACGCACGCCAATTATGAGTCTACATAATTGCCAAGTGACTCAAGCCAATTATGGCGCAGTAGCAGTACCCGGTCAATTTGAAAAAAAAAAGAAATTTACAAACTAACATGCCTCAATTTATAGAGCGGACGCATTTTAACTATTATACAAAAAAAATTCATTTAAAACACCCGACCCTTCGAACCCTTATTTTCGAACCCTTATTTTGTTGCGGGTCTCCTTTCGTACCTCTACGCTACAGATCCATGATACCTTGAAGCTAAATTACTATTTCTATTATAATAGTCTGTGTTAATGACCTTAGCATTGGCTGATCTTAATAGCTGGTTATTGATCAAAATGAAAACTTTGAAAATGAACACTAATATTTGCGGTTGGAAAAAAGTCCATTATATCACACAAGCTTTGCTGGTCTAAAAAAAATTGTTGAAAAAAACGGCGAACCAAAAAAGACGGTGAACCAAACGGTAAAAAAAAACGGTGAACCAAAAACCGTGAACCAAAAAACGGTGACACAAATTGAAAAAAAAACGGTTGAAAAAAAAACGGTGAACCAAAAACGGTTAACTAAAAAACGGTGAACTAAACGGTGGAAAAAAAAGGTGAGCCAAACGGTGAAAAAAAACGGTGAACCAAACCAAAAACCGTGAACCAAAAAACGGTGAACCAAATTGAAAAAAAAACGGTTGAAAAAAAAAACGGTGAACCATTTGTTATACTGATGCGGTACAAAATGCGAATTTGCTTAAAATGGACCTACCCAAAACTTTAGTTGTTTCTCTACTAAATTAAATAGAAATGAAAATTTGATAGGAGATTTTAAATTTTCCAAAGACATAAAACTTATCTTGCAAAAATAATAAGAGAGACACTTCTGCAGGAAAAACTTGCGCAATTTGCGCTTTCGATTGGACTTTTTTTCAGATTTCATAGGGTAGTTTTGAAAAAAAAATTCAAGAAAGCTAATAAACAAGAGAAGATTCCCAAAATCGAGTTTCTCGACTGAATGCTTAACCTGAGAAATGGCATGATAATTTTGGAGTAAAGTAACAAAACTTCCAAAAAACGGTCAAAGTTGCAAGACCTTCACTTGATTGAAGGCCATAACTTTTTTTCAAAAGAAACTGGGCAATCAAACTACCAATTTGTCGATTGAACTTAAATTACCTGCTGTGTCGATTAAAACTCTGACAGACATTGCAGAATACTCAAAGAAAAATGAAAAAAACATTCAACAAATCAGATAGTTGTCATTTCCGAGAATCATAGCTTTATTTGAAAAAATCGAGCGTAGATGCTTATGCAGAGATTTAACTTCAATTGCACACGAAACTGTTATTTCAACTGAACCCAAAAACCCATGTATAGAAGGGTAGTTCTCGAGAAAAGTCGAAAAATTTCAAAAAACTGTCAAAAAATCAAACTTTTGATTTTTCCTTGGGCCATAACTTTCAGTGTTAAAAAAAATATGGTTGTAGTCGCATTAGCAAAGGAACGTCTCACAACCCGTTCTTGAATTGAACCCAAGATCTCACACATGGGAGAGTAATTTTTGGAATTATTCATAAAATTTAAAAATGACCGCTCAAAAACTCAAAAAATTGACTTTTCCGAGGCAGATAACTTTTTTTGTTAAATATTTTTGAGTGGTTGCTAATTCAAGGTGCTTTCCACTACCCTTCATCTCCATTAAACGCACTACTTCAAGTTTTTGGGAGGTTAGTGTTCGTGAAAAGTCAAAAAGATTCAAAAAATTGTCAAAAAAATCAAAAATTTCACTATTCCGAGGGCCACAATTTTGTAAGTAAAAAAATTGGGCTTGGCCGCTTATGGAGGGGAAATTTAAAAATCTGCTCTATTCATTTTGAAAAATCACACATAGGGAAGGTTAATTTTTGAGAAAACGAAAACAAAAAATCGGTCAAATATTCCCCCCACAGACTTGTTCGAAGGCTGCAGACAAAGCGTAAAGCAAAAAGAGACCAAGGGAGTATGCAGGCACACATGAATGTAGACGGTCTGAATTTTTTCATGATACTTGTTTTTATCAAACAGGAACTCGAGGCAAATATGCCAAGCAAGACATTTGAAATTCAACTTAGAAACGAACAACTTTACGAAGCGGAAACAAGGCCGACAATCTTTGAGCAGACAACCGTTGAGCCGAAAAAAAACGGATTTTGTAAAAAAATTTTAGGAAGTTTCAAGTCCCCCAGAAACCACAATGAACAACCCTTGCAACTAACATGATACTTGCTTACAGCAAAAGAAAAAACCTTGATGCCGCAGCAAAACGTGTACAAAACTGGAGCAAATAAACGAAAGTCTGACAAATCAACTTTAACCGGAAATTTTTTTGCAAATGCATACATACTGAACAAAACAAGGTCCCGTCCGGATTCGAACTACGGACTTCAGGGTGCAAGGGCGACGGAAATACCTCTAGGCCAAGTGCGAAGTAACCTGTGAGTTGTTAAGTAACTATTAGTAACTAGTACCCACCCAGCTGGTACCCACCAATAAGTTATTCAACAGATATTGTCAACTAGTTGTTATCCCGAAAGAAAGCATTCCATTTTCATAACGCTTGCTAATCGCAAGCGTAAAGAAACGGATATTCTGCTTACCATACTCGACAAAAAACCGCAAACAAATTGAAATAGAACACATCTAGCGTGTAAGGCAGCTCCAAACTCTTGAAAAAACCGCATAAATTGAAAAAAATATCTGCAACCTTTGAGTGTACTTTGACAGCTCCCAATAATAGGGTTCAGAATTTCAAATTTTGCCAAAAATTTTTCTTTGAGTTGATTGAATTCAAACCTTGAAAACCCATTCAATTTTTATAAAAAAAACTTTAAAATGACAAAAAACGTCACACCTTGGAAACTAAAAGCAAATGATCAGTCGGACGCGACAAATTGCACTTCCTGAGAGTATTCTCACAGTACCAAACTACAAGGTTAGGAAAACGTTGAGAACATTTTTAAATTCAAGTTTCTAAAAACCATGAAAAAAACGTCACAACTCGAAAATTGCAAAAACTTGAACAGTCATATGTGGAGGCGAGATCCCCAACCCCCTCGAGTGATCTGGCAGCTCCCAACTAAAGGGTTGGGAATTTCAGATTTTAAAATATATATATTTAATTTACTTTTCTGAAAAATTTTTTATAAAACCGCATGGCTTATCTAGAAAACTACAAGAAATTGAGCAGTTATATTTGAAGGTAAGACTTGCAACTACTAAAAATACTCTGACAGCACCCCATTGCAAATAAGAGGGCGTCAAACAAAAAACGTCATATCTCCAAAGCTTAAAAAAATCAGAACTTGGAGGCCAGATTCGCAACCCCCGATAGTATTCTGACAGCCCTTCAATAGAGTGTTGGGAATTTCAAAAATAAATAAAAATAAGTTTTGTAAATTTTTTGAAAAATCATTAGAACCGTCATAACTAAGAGCATTTTAGCAGTCTCATTTGGATGTAAGATTTGGATCTTGAAACTTCTGAGAGTACCCTCACAGTACCCAACAACAAGATTAGAAATTTCCAATCTTTATAGAAATTTTAAAATAAGTTTTCTGAAAAATTAAAATGAAATCAGAAAACACGTCATATCTCAAAAACTACAAGATTTTGAGCAGTCACATTTGGAGGCAAGACTCGCAATCCTTGACAGCACCCAGCAACACGATTTGAAATTTCAAGTTTTTGAAATTATTATGTTTATTGAGTTTTCGGAAAAATTTTGAAAAAATCACAAAATCGTCGTATCTCGTACACTGAAAGGACTTGGGCATTCATAATTGGAGACCAAATTCCCAACCCCTGGTGGAACTCTGGCAGTGTCCCTCTATTGTGTTGCTAACTTTTAACTCGGTGGAACAAACACTGGGTTCAAAATGGAAAATCGTTTAAAAAATTCTCAAGCATTGCAATTTACGATATAGCTTAACCACTCATAGATACGTAAATGCGCTTTACTGTTGCAAAAAAAATGCTTAAACATGGCAAGATACGTGTCACACTCATTTAAATATAGTATAGATAGATAGACATTCTTCTTCTACATAATGATTGAATAATGAATCAAATTTTGTAATTGGACGCACATTAACTTAGTTTTCACGTTAAATGAATCTTTAGGCTACTAGCTGCGTGAAATATATTTTCAGCCGAATTCGTTCAGTTATGCAAATAAAGTCAATCAGGAATTTGCTTTGAAACCAAATTGGTGGGAAAAATATACGTTCAATTATTTAGAAAAGCTCAATTATTTAGAAAAGAGATTATGTGAAAAATATTGAATTAACAACAGCATCTGTACAGATATGACATTTAAATTTAATGTTCGTAAAATTGATCAAATAATTTTAAAAGCTCATTTTCAAATTTACAAATTAACAGAAAATTGAATTAGGGTACTGCTGTTAGCTAACTATCTACTAGCTTAGTGTATTACAGCACATTATTAATTAAGATAGAAAACAGAAAAGTGAACTCTGAAAATCATCACATAAAAATTAATCGAATATATTTAACATAAAAAACGAACGCATCCGAGATCTAAGTGACGTCATTGTTAATCTCATTTGACCATTTGATGTTTCTGACGTTAGTTGCTATACCAATACAGATCCTAAATTTCCCTCTAAGCGATGTAACATCATCTCAGGCGATTTTAGGGGACTCAATTTTAAAGCAAGTTTTTCTCCCTTTTGAAATTCTCCAGGTCTATTTCCTGGTCGCATAAATTACTTCTATTTACAATGGTAGGTAGTAACCTATTTCCATTATTGCACATGAAAAGGTTAAAAAACTGCAAAATGCATTTTTGTTTTGCGGAATAGAAATTATAAGTCAGTTCATTTCTCTCAGCAAAGCAGAATCACTCAGCTGATAGTTTTGCAATGGTAGAGAGAATAAGTGAAAAACTCTTCAATCAACCAAACTTAATTATCAATGCTACTTGCCAGTAATGATCATTTGATCCCTTTGACTGAATTTTGGGGTCTATCCAACTTAGGGCTCCCCAATTAACCGAAAAAAAATATTAAATCCTGCTTGTCATAAATATTTTTTCTAGTTACTGAATTAATTTGATAAATAATGATCCGAATTTTGAAACTTAGCAAAACACTACACGAGTACGCATGTTGCACTCATTTTCCGGTAAAAAATCAAATTACATCATCAAGACCATGAAATGTGGACTATATGGCACTGCTTTTATTGAATTGAAACATATCTCAATAATTATGATGATTTCACCAACTGCACGTCAGCACTTGATAAAAATGGAAAGGACAGACCAAAACACTTTTGACCGGAAATCTCTTCTAAAAATAGACACATTGCACGGTTCGATAATTCGCTTGCTACAATTGATTGAGTTCTATAGCAGCAAACCGATTAGAAATGAGCTTGATCGTAATTGATTTCATTTACGCATCTTCAATAGATTTACTCAAAAATTGCCTTTCTTGAAATTACAAATAATGTCAACGCCCCTTCATAACAGAAAAAAAGGGTAAAAATAGCTGGACTCGCCATGTTACCAAACTTTACGCCCAAACATCCTAAAATATCACTATCATATTTTTCAAAATTATTGGATAAAATGAAAATTTTTCATTTGAGATTCACGTCGTTTCCATGCACGGCTATACTTCAATGGTTGAAATCAATTGAGGACAAAATAATTATGCGGATATAACATTGGGGATTTAAATGTTTCAAGTATTTAGATTTTATTTTTTAAAACTGCAGTTGTTTACTTTTGTTGTTTAGCACCAAATATAGCGAGTCACGTTAGGGAATAGTTGAGAATTTCTTGTCAATAGAGGTCACGAAGACTTCTAAAATTCAGTTCACTGTATGAGCAAGGAGTGTGCGCAAGTGCGGTTTCATCACTACCGATTAGATTAATCAAACAGATTAATAGAAAAAAAAATTTTTATAATCCAATCGAAAATACATGATTTAAAAATCAGCACTCAAATGGTACCGAAACTATTGTAAATTATAATTGAAACTTAATTAATAATCGAGTTTATTCAAACACATGCTTTTGGCATTACTCGATTTAATCAGTTTTCGAATACAAGTTTTGGATCTATTTAGTGTTCGTTCAAACTAGTTCTTTGGCAGTCGCCAAGTAAAATGGCGAGATTAAATTATCCTTTTGTTTTCATAAATTTCCATTAAGTTAAGCATAAAAAACGATATCTCGAAACTCGATTTTAATGAAATTTGCTTGCCGGTTAACCGTTTTCAAGATAAAAATCTATTAAAAACAATCTTTACATGTATCACTAATTGAACTTGATAGTGAGCGCATCAAGCAAACATTATCTAAAACTGAACAGAAATAAAAAAAACGCATTAGACGTTTAAGGTGCTAGGCTGGAAATTACAACAGTAAAGTCATCGAAGTTCGCTCTCAGAAAATCGCATTTATTTCCAATTTATATGGTCCAAGTTTTGGATACAATACTTATTATATACCTTTCATTTCCTTCTTTCCTATAAGCTTTTTTTGGGATTATGCCATTTTCATGAGCAGCAACAAAACTCAGCAGAAATATTAAAACCGAGTCTAACTTTGCTCTAACCAACTGTAGAAAAATAAAAGTAGACGTTAAACTTGCTTTGAAAGCGATCTATTTTCCTGCTATTTTTTCTCGCCTAATTTTGTGAAAGCTATCATTAAAACTCACATTTATTTTAAATCTCCGTTGACAAATTGCACTCAGCTTTTGACATGAACTCCCGAATATCCTCAGAATTCTTTAATTAAAGAATGAAACTAGTGACGTAATTTGAAAATAAATTTAACTGAAAAACAAATTTTTCAAACCGCTAATGAGCCCATAGAAGTTTCATCCTATTTCGCTTTAAAAATAGACGTTCGTGGCCTCTCGTACTCAGTGTTTTTTAAGCCATGGAGATCAAATTTGTACAAATTACATTCCTAACCATACAAGCATAAGTGAAGCACACTATTAGCAGTTCCTTATTTATGATAGATCGCTCAAGTTTCATTATAAAATTCTTAAATAGATACTTTTCTTCATGTTTAGCACTAAAAATATATCTGATCTCAAATGACAAGATCAAATTCATTTCATCATTTCGGTTTCAAAAAAATTAACTACATTTTTTCTCTAATAAATAAAATAATTCCAGATGACTTTTCAAGAAATAAAACATTTAATCATGCAAATTGTATACAGCCATTTTATCTTAAATTCAAAAATTTTCAAAGAACGAAAAAAAATACGAACATAGACTTGGATCAATTAACATTTAGAGGTTTATTGCAGCAGCACAGCAGAAAAAAAGCAAAGCTTCTCTAACTAACTGATCGACTAAAACATTAATATATCAATTCAGCAATAACTGCTAATATAGAATTTGAAGAATTTAGAAACATAAACCCAGTAAAGTTTATGAATAAATTTTTAATCAGACTAATTAATTTAATTGATTCTACTATAAATAGCTGAAAATAGAATCTGTTTCTCGTGTATTTTTGACTTCCGACTCGTTTAGGATTTAGGGTCTGATGATCCTTGCGTCCTCTTCATTTCTGTCTTCTTTTCAGGTGGGCATATTTCTACCATGCATCTGTATATCGGATGTCCACTTCCTGCAGCAGTGGCAGTTCTTTCTTCAGTGCCTCAAAAGTGTGCGCAGTTAGTTTGGTGCTGTTCAGATTCAGTCGTCGCAGTGATTTGATGTGCTTCAGAGAAGCTAGTCCCTTGTCCGTAACTGGAGTTTCGCACAGATTCAACACCTACAACACAAATTACACTTCTAAATGAACCCATTTGAAACTAAATTCAATAGCAAATTTCTTATACCTCCGATGAACTCGAATAGTTTTGAGCCAATTTAAATCTAGATATCAATGGTTCGAAACCCCTCTAACGCTTCTTTTTTTAACTTCACCTACTCGCTAAAATAGAGGGAAAAACAGAACTAATCCGGATGTCTATGAAGAGTTGAACATCTCGTTTGTGAAATCTTTGCTGGTGAATAAATTCCCAAATAGAAAAGAAGTAAAAATATCTTATGTACCGAAAAACCCTTTCGGCTGACTAATCATAAAGGTCAACTTTACTGACGCTCCCAGCGGTTCACAATTAATAGCATAAAAGTTTGTATAAAATTTGACGCTGAAATCTTTTTATTCGTGTAAATTTTGGAATTATACAATCTAAACTCCCGCATCACACGAATTGCATTGCAGCTTTTTGGAAAAAAATTCAGTATATTGAATTTATTGGTTGGGGTTAATATTCAAAAAAATGGAGAGGAGAATAAAGCGAGTTCAAATCTCTAAGTGACCTGCAGATTGAGCAAATTGTCCGCAATCATCTGCAATCCCAGGTCTCCGAAGCTAGTCGCCCACAAGTTCAAATACTTCAGACTCCTCAGCTTCGAAATGAGATCTCCACTAGCACTGCTCACATTCGTGAATGCCAGACTGAGCGACTCCAGGTTGCCAAAATAGCCGGACTTCAGAACCTGTATATAAATTCAAGAGTAGACAGTGGATGTGTCAGTTAGACAATGTTCCGATCATAGTAACTAATGCAAAAAAGTAGCACAATTTTGTACCGTTTTCTTGGCTGGTCAAAAATGAACTGAGATGAGCAGCACATTAGACCATAAGGCCATAAACTATAAGGCAATAGAAATAAGTTGCAATTCGTAATCTTGAACTTTTAAATACGGTTCACTAAGCTGTTACGGTTCACTAAGCTGTACTTCGCAAACAAGCGAACATTGGCAAAAAAATAGTTCCAAAAGGCATCGAAACAAAAATGCAAGAAAATACAGAAATATGTCTAAAAAGAAAATCAAATTCAAAAAAAAACACGACTGCTCGTATCAGGGTCAAGGTCTAAGCAATTTGGTTGCCATTCAAGGTATCTGAAGTAGGTTTGAGTTGACAAATGATAAATTCAAAAAATGAAAACCTAAACTTTTATTGAAAGTATTTCCCCGAAACACAAAGTCAAGTACACAGTGATATGTTTCTCATCTCATTTTCACGATACTGAGACAATTTTTTCAGAACTTTTTAGTTTGAATCCAAAATGTGACTGAATAGGGCTTGATATAATATATCACACCGCCTCATCAGATTTATTTGCGGTTTCTGATTTGGCATGAAAAGCAACCAACGCTAAATCATAGTTCCTTCTCAAACCTAGAAAAAGTCAAAACTATTATAACCATTTGGGTCACTGGTAATCATTTCACGCAGAGGCGAAGCTGTACACTGCAGAGGCAAGCAAAAAATGTCAAAGAACACTCAACTGAGTGAGTTCAAAAAAGAAAAAGGTCTGAAAAATAAAGGATTCGAAAATAAAGGAGTCAAATACGATTCCATTGCCTTCGCAATTATGCCATTTTGTCTTGATGTCTGAATTCGATGTCTGAATTCGTTTGTCTTGATGTCTGAATTCGTTGATGTCGATCAAAGCGATTTAACAAAGATTAGCTATCAAATCGCTAAGTAGCATTTGAAGCAGGACACATACTGAAACTGAGCAATAAAATGTGCGGATTAGGGTATACAAAGTTAGCTCGTTTTATAACACTTCATAACAGAAGCGTTAACGAAATAAAAAAAAATATTCACAAGCTAATTTTTGACATAATTTCGAATGTTAGGAATCAGAATTTCGATAAGTTCAAGACAAGGCTGCTTTTCTTTACTAAAATTAAGAAAAAGAATAGACAATATTCTAAAAAAGATATAAAACTCTTAGAAAAATTTTTTGCAAAAATTCGCGGAACTAATTCTTCATTAGGTACTATTTTAAAAAGTGATTGTCAAAAAAAACTAGATTTTTAGAAATTGTTTCCAAATTCGTCCAAAGGAAAACAAAATTTTCCAACAATTCTTACACACAGAGGCAAAACAGCACTTTTTAAACACAAGCGAGAAAACGGGAAAAATTAGCTCTCTTAGAGTAAAAACTGAAAAAAAAGAAGATAAAAACTAATCAACAACTTGCTATCAGAAAAACAGCCTAAAAACATAAACACCATTATTATCGACATGTCTACCCACAAGCCCGACAATAAGTGGTTAGACGCCTATAAGGCCGAAAAAATGCGATAAGAAACTGTTGTCATGAAATGAATTAAAATTTTTTAAAAGCAATTAAGTTGTAAATCTTGCAACACAAACTAACCCAATTTTCCAAAAGAATCAACCATTTTTGCCTTTGAAGCGACACAAAAAATTAGCTAAGCCGATAGAACATCAGCCAAAACCATTTAGGCAGAGTACAGCTTTTAAGCAGAAAAAAAACCATAAGAAAAAATCGAGGAAAATAAACAACGCCAGGTCTACTAATCTTACAAATTAGAGAGGTAAATCAAAATCACTTGCATTTACAATGAAAATCGATGCCAGCACAAATGTGACAACTAGGCCGAGAATACATTTTTACCTGACTCGAACCCACGGGCGGATCTAAGATTTTCTCAAGAGGGGGGATTTTCAAAATCTTGTCGACCTTTTTTTTAATTAGGCTGACTAAATTGATTCAGAGCACTAAAAATTTTCAAAACCAGGAAAAAACGAGTTTTCAGGCACATTTTGGAAATCGCATTTTTTCGGCGCGCGCTCCCCTCTCAAAATTAGTACATATTGGCGCCTATAGAAACTTTTTGGGTCCGTCAGCCAAAAAAGGATATCTCAAAATCGTATAAAGTGGGGACCATTTGGGTCGTCAAGGGGTCGAATCCCTGAAGAGAAGGCGTTCGCCCCCCACCCTAAATCCGACACTGCTCGAACCCACATCACAGAATACAAAGGCAGCGGTGTGGGAAGGTTCCAGGGCTGCAAAAAAAAACACGTTTCGAGTAAAAAAACTTTTTAAACAAAAAAAAAACAATGAGATTATATGCAGTCTGTGCACGTACTGTTCCAAGTTGAGTGCTCTTTTCATTTAATTTTCAGTAGGATCGACTCCAAAAAAGTCGGATACAAAAACAGCGCAGCAAATCAAGAATCCAGAACAGAAGAATATTACCGTTTCGTGGCACTTTCGAGCCATTCGCGTCGTTCGATTACCTCGTTCACGAAATCCATCGAGGATATTTTTCCACGAATACAGTTCAGTTAGTCAAAGCATACGAGAAAATCTGCCAATCAGGGGAAGTTAATTTAAAAAATAAATTATTCAGTGTGTTAAAAGTGTTTTAAACGTGTTTAAAACAAGACATGTTTACAAGACAAGATACCTGATTACAAGATACCTGCTGTCGCAACTGTAATAAAACTTATGCATCCAAAGTAATCCGGATATAATAATTATGCAGCATAAGTATAACTAACATAATGCTAGTGATGCCAATTCACCATATGAGCACTTTTGTTATATGCCAATTTGACAACGATTACATTTTCGTTTTCAATAACTTTTATTTGCGACTTGGGCTAGAAAAGTGGACTTCGTAAAACGACACTCGGCTCCGTTTGTGAAAATACCTTTATACTTCACGCAATGCATCACGTGAAAGAATTAGTGAGTGCACGATTTAAAAGAAGAGTGTCAATTCTGAAACAAAAGTTTAGGACAACAAAAAAGTCAGTATCCGATTTGATAACTCTTACATATCGCAAGTGTACAAAAATGCAGTCACCTTTAGAAAATTTAAGGATTTAAGTTCAAATTAATTTTCGCTATAAGAGCGAGAAAAATTGCATCAAATTTTGCATCTTACCTATAATTAAATTAAGCAAATATAATTAAATAACTACCTGTGCGAGATGTTGGTCTGTGGACTTGGGTGGGAGAGAGAGCATTGTTGGACCTCCTTTAGATTGGAGTTCTTTGAACTTGGAGATTTCCTCGCACGTTTGTGAGTAACGCTCGTGGCCTGTCAAACATTTAACTGCTGTTCAGTTTCATTCTAAGCCATTCGAATTTATCAAAACGCTTTTAAATTTTTTTTGATGTGTTGGACAGAAAAAATAATTATGAGAACTCTGTGAGAATTAATTAGTTTTTTAGCTGTCAATGAGAGCCACATTAGATAAATTAATGGACAAAATAGCGACAAAAATTTCAAAGGTACAGCTGAAAAAGCAATTGACAGTTGAAACGTACCAGCTTTGCTGCTCTCCAAGGTTGAGATCACTTCTACTCTGACATCAGCTGAGTCTAAGATCTCGAGCTGCAACATCAGACACAATAGATCCATCATATCGGTATTGCCTTTCGATGCCATCAAGAGTATCGGAGACAGAAAGTATGTCGCCAGATAGAGGATGAATTTCTTTCTCTTATAGCAACAATTTATCAATGCGCTTAGCATCGAGCAGAAAAGACTTCCGTCATTTGCATCGTCCGCAAGGAGTCCTCCAGGCGCGAACAGGTGGAACCATCCCAGTTTGCCGTCTCGGACTCCTAGCACGCATGTGTGCACTTCACATCGCGAGTCACCGGCGAATGAAGCAATGATTGGAGCCACGCCGTTTACGAAGGAGTCGCACACAAGTGCCGCCTTAGCGAAGGGAATCGGTTGCAATAAAGGCGCCAAACTGTACCGCCAGTCTTCATAAAAACAAATCGATTTGAGAATCGCCAGGAAACACTTAATGGTTCTCTGTTCCGATTCAGAAGCAACCACCTCTTCGTCGTTTAGGTTCCCATTCGAGTTCGAAAGGTCATTGTCCGAATCCAGGTTTGACTCACTGGCGCAGATTCCCATTTTGATGACGTCTGCGTATTCGTTCTGCTCCTCAGAGTATCTGTCCTCGAAGTTGTTGGCAGATTTCTCGATAGGTTTTGAGATTCGAATCCCATCGTACACGAAATCAGAGCGATTTCTGCATAGCTGTAGAGAAGCTAGACATACTGCTACTAGATTGCTCAGCACTCTTATATGCGGACATGTCGCATTGGGTCCATGGGCTGTCTCTACGAACGAATCGACTTGTTCTTCGAATTCCGGCAAATTCATCAATGCTAGAAAGAAGTCAGCAATGAAATCTCGGACTTGAGGTCTCTTACCAAAATCACTATTATGTTTCAGTAGCTGCTGAATCAACGGAACAAACACATCAAGTAGGTGAGAAGTTTTGGGGCATTGGACAAAGAACCGGGATAAATACTTGCACATTTCGTCTGAGAGTATGTAGTTTTCAACACACAGTAGCAACGGTTGGATGATGTTTACTACTTCGATAATGGGTACGGATTGAACGACGTTTTTGTTGTCTGAGCAGAGAAACTCTGATAGAACTTCAAGAACTGAGACTTTCACCTCTTCGTGTGAAATCCGACACAGGAGAACATACTCTACTAAGCTTAACAACTCGGCTCGTACTCGGTCGAAGCTTTCAGCTTGAAGAAGTAGCAATCTGCCATGAGCAAGCCTGTTTCTCCAATGTAGCGTGTAGAACCATTGGCAGCAAATATGGCTATTTTTAGCTTGTAGCAAAATTTGGTGATCGGCCAACGCAATTCTTATACATGGCCTAGTGATCCTTCCAGGTTCCATGTTTTCGTTTATCTTTTGCTTGCGCGGGAAAATCTGTATGTGTCTGATATCGCTGTAGAACGTGCTTAACTCGGTAGGTTTTGCAGTAGCATTCGACTGACAAGTAAAGCGATCAGCGAAGAACTTGAGACGGCAACTCTCCCATCTTTTGAAAACTCTGGTCCACAGCAGCTTTCCTAGGGCTCCAGCAAAAGGTGCACTTCTACAAACGAGTATGTCACCTTCGTAAATTGGCTTGAACCGAGAGATGCACTGCTTCTTGGCTTCCGATTCGTCCGCATCTGAATCATCTTCAGGAGGCAGAACTGTGATTTCGTCTGTTCCTGGTTCCAATACAAACGGAGTCATTGTCTTCTTGTCATCGGCGCTTGAGCAAGCATGCGCTTTAAAATGAACGCTGAAATGAAAAAAAAGTTCGATTAATTCGGCAATTAAAGTATTCATCATTCAACGTTAATTAATCAGTAAGATAGTATTAGTCAAAACATAAAAAAAAACTGAAACCTGTTAGCTGATCGCGAGCGCAACTGGCCATCTGCAAGCACCACAGGTGGGCAATACAAGCAACAGATGTCGGGATTAAGCTCGAGTACAACCGCCTCCTCGCCTGGACTGTGATTTGATGAATCGCTGCAACTGCTATCAACAGTAATATCGTTCTCCTTCGGTACATTTCCAGAAAACGGCCACGAACAAGAACTTCCTCCGCCTTGATTAGACTTAAAGTCGATGTTCGAATGGATTCCGCATTGAACTGCAATGTTTGCTCCACCGTCATCTAATAGAAAACCATTCGTCGACTGAAGACTTCGCCTCTTTCGGAATAATCTCTTAGCTCCTCCTCCAGATCTTCTTTTGACCAGATCGGTTGCATTTTTCTGACAACTGGTGTATAATTTAGGTTGCTGCATTACATGCCTCCCAAGCTCAGTTGATTTAACGCTGTCACTCTGGCTTGGCTCCAGCTCGCCGGTTGATCCACAATCAGATTGCATTTTGCTTCACAAGTGGTCACATTAGTCTAGAACGCCGAGGCAAAAACCAAAAATCGTAGAAAAAAGTGATATTTAATAAAAACTCATAATCAGGTCGAAAGTATCATAGTACCCGAGGTTACAGTCATTAGTCCCTACATTGCATTATCCAGTCGAAATCCTCGGAATTTTCTAGATATGGAAGACTAAAATATAATGTGGACAGAAAGTATCAAAGTCAGATGGTTGGGAATCAAGCCAACCAGATTGAGAAAACAAACACCTGCACAGAAAAAACCGGAGTTGAAAGTGACTCAACAAGACTGACCTCATATGAGGCTACCATATAAAAAGTAAAATTCGCCCATTCATTACACATTTACGGAGCGTAGGAAAGGTACCTATTGACTACTGGCTGACGTCAGTTACCTTAATTCTACTCGTTTTTAACCGCAAAGACCTAGCCAGTTATTTTTCTGATCTGTTAAGGGCTAAGTAAAAAGTTACCATTTATAGGCGATAAGCCAAATGACTTTTGATCAGCTTTGGTTTACATGCAAAAATAACCACATAGCTGTCCCCAGACAACGCGAGTACTATTAAAAATGCTGCTAGAAAACTACAATTTACTGTTTTTAGTGAGTTATATACTGAATCCTTTACAGATGTATTGACTCTTTCCTCGACTCTCAATACTCATGCTGTGAAATGCTAAATTAAATTGGAGTTAATCAAATCGTTCAGGGCATTACAGTAGCTTAAATGTATATTCATTGTATATTCATTGTCTCTAATAATCTCTAGGCACCGGGCCTCTAATTCCGTGTTCTCCCGGAGATACTGTAGTTATGTTTCCAATTTCGTGGCACGGTAGGCTTTTGATCTGTTCGGGATGTGTGTGCCAGTCGGTCATATTTTGAAGTTTGACCTTGAGCTGAACGTTTAATTTTGATTCTGGGGAGAAAATTTTTTTTTTCAAAATTTCGAAATGAGCATATCATGCTCAAGTTTCTTGCGGCAACTGAAAATACGAGAAAAAGCAATCAATAGATTCGAGTGATAACCACGGGAAAGTTGCAAGAAAAAAGAGTGTGTAAGATTGCTAATCGCAATTTTACCGTAATAATCCAGCACGAGTAGAGCTATCTTTTTCCCGAGAGAAAATCAAGAGTTATAAAAGACGGATATAGAAGACGATCAGTTCGACCAGATTGACACTTGAGTGGAAAGGTGGACAGCTGAAGCTGCCGAAAGGTCCAGGAAGAAAACTTATTCTTGAGTTCTAACTTACTTATTTAAAACTCCTTGAGTTAGACTCAATTACTTTAAATCGGAAGTCAATATACGCGATAGACTACAGCAGGAGACTCGAGTTGTTTGAGACTGCGTGCAAAGTATTCGCCATACCGACGGAAGTCAGGAACGTATGGAGTCGCTTGAGGTACTTTCCATGGTTTCGGGCGACACTGACGTCTTGGTTGTACATGACAACGAAAGATCACATGAGAAAACATCAAAAAGAGTATCGACAGTTCCAGGCCGAGATTGGGCCGGAAGCTTTCAAGAGACCCCTGCTAACCCATCGTAATGCGATCACGACAGGATGGAAAAGAGTGGGTAAGATGTCTAGAGACAATACCAAAGCGAGGGAGTCGATACTAGAGGAAGACCTGGCGAAGAACGTGAGCTTGAGCCTGCACAACTCCTTTTGCTTGAACCGAGAAGCTAGGGTGAAGGCACTACCCAACCAAGCAAAGAGGTTGCAGGAGAAGAGAGAATGGATGCGATCCTATGAACAGCTGAAGGCTTGGGAGGAGATAGTGATTAGTTCCGATGATGAAGAGGAACGGTTGAGACAGTTTGCCGCATCCAGCACTTCAGGATGCAGTACCTCCAAGGCGAAGAGTACGAGATGAATGGGCAAATCGGATGGATCTTGAGTCTTGAGAGGGAAGGGGGGCTTGAGCGTGGATCCGAGTGAAACTTGGATTCACGAAAAAGAAATTTTAACAAAGCAAATATTGTTACTAATATACTATATTTATTATATAAATCGAAATGCTGCATGACAATTTCCTGATTGAATAGGACAAAAGAGATTTTAAAATGATTGGCTTGAAAAGCGAAAATTCAAGGGTGCAGGTGTATGCAGATTTTGGTTGCTGTTTAGCAATAGTGTGAAAATTTTAAATGGCTGTGAATTTTGGGATGTAGATGAGCTTAAATCTGCTGCAAACTTCTGTAAATGACCACTGGCACTGTATCTTGAGCAACACTCGGTTTTTCTGGGACTCACTGGCAGAAGACAGCGCGCGATGAGGACATCGATCTCGAGTCCGGGGAGTATGTGCCAGTCGGTCATATTTGGAAGTTTGACCTTGAGAGAAGCAAAAAAACACTTGATTTTGGAGTGAAATTTAATTTTTCAAAATTTCGAATGGAACCTGTCATGCACGATTTTCTCGCGAGAACTGAAAATCAGAAAAAAGAAGTTAGAACAATTTCAGAACGATTGAGACACACACGCGGGAAAGTTGTAAGAAAAAGCAGTAGGAAATTGCTATTCGCAATTTCCATCACTATAATAATCGAGAGTAGAGCTGTCCCATCTGTGACAGAGACGAGAGCATTCCCTCGAATTGGATTATAACGACTGGAGTATTATTCGGAACTGGACTAGAGTGAACCTTCGGTGGAAAGGTGGACAGCTTGAGTGTCCTAATGGTTCACAAGAAAACTATTGTCTAGAGTATAAACTCGTTCTCATTGTTAAAACTATAAAACATTAGACTCATTTAGTTGCGTTATTTAATTCTTGAGTTAATTACTGACTGGATTATTTCCCACTTCTTGAGCGTGCTACTATGTGAGTACAAATTTAAATTCCTAGAGTGTGTTTTATGATTGTTATGTTGAGGTAAGGCGAGTTTTAGGTTGATCCATCTGAAATGGATCAAAGTTCCACTGTCTAATAAAAAGTAACTTAACGGATTGTTCCAACCCGGTTTTTAACGGCGTTCATGTATTTTGGGTATCTAGAGACCTAAGTATGGGGACGTTTCTAATTCTAGAGTGGGGGGATATTTTAGTAGTAGCCTTTAAGCTGTAACGGGTCGTAGTCTCATGTCACAAGCGAACCGAACTGGCTCCGACCGTTCTTGAGGTAGAAAAACACAAGAGATGGTGTCCCTGACCCTTGAGCCAGTGGTTATAGGGCCTATTCTTCTTAAGCCTCATGTGTGACTGCAGTAGACGAATGTTACATAGTGTTTTTATGGCGCTCCTGGGTGTTTACGACATCAAGACTACGGAGTCGAACCCACTTGAGACAGCTTCGGGCTGAATGCCCATTCTAGAGTACCGGCGGTACGGTTCGACAGGAACGTGCAAACCTTCCGGTTGTACCGTGATAGCTTTTTAAGAAAACTCGAGAAAATTTCCTGGTACGCTCTCCGAACGAGGCTTAGCTAACCGAGTAAAGGGGGGCAACTAGGGGGACAAAAACACGAGCAAAAAGACAAAAAGCAAAACAAAAACCAAAAAAAGAATAGAAAAAGGAACAAAAACCATAAAACGAAAAAAGACAGTGACTTTGACACCAGATTAGTTGGATCAAACCTTTATATTAATTAAATAGTATACCCATACTGTTTTACAAGTTCGATCGTTTCGATCAACCTAGCAATTTAAACCAGTAAACTGAATAAAGTGCCCGAAGTGGGGCGTGGTCAAAGGTTTTCAGATAGCTTGGAACTTAGCTGGACCAATAGGAGACTTGACTGGAAGAGGTGACCAGCCGAGTGGGAAAGTGGTTCAGGGACACTTGAGCTGAACCAATAGGAGACTTGACTGGAAGAGGTGACCAGCCGAGTGGGAAAGTGGTTCAGGGACACTTGAGCTGAACCAATAGGAGACTGGACTGGAACAGGTGACCAGTCGAGTGGGAAAGCAGCCAAGAAGGATTTGGCAATTCTCGAGTTCTCAAGTTGGGCAGAACGGGTATCGTTAGAATCCACATTACATTATAGGAGATAAGTGTAAAATTGGATAAGCGAAATCCCCCAGTTTTGAGGAACGTTTTTACTTGAGCAGGCCTGGAAACAGGTCTACGGTTTTCTCTTGAGAGGTTTAGCACCCGGCGCTTAAAGTAATTTTTAGGCTTAAGAAGGGGGGCTAGAAAGGGGGGAGGTTAGAAGGGGGGCTGGTTAAGTTAGAGGTTGGCGGTTGTAAATTGTAAAAAGGGGGAAATTAGAGTAACTAATTAGTCGACATCGTTGACTTAGTTACATTAGAAATTAACACGCGTTGGTAATATTAGGTGGAGATCCAAAATTCAACTCGAGTTAAGACTGGTACGCTGGTTGGTTTGGTAGGGGGGACCGGATATAGACAGCTTTTGTGATACCCCATAAGATCACTAGTGGGGGGAGGAAAACGCGTGGCAATTAGGTACCAGACATTTTTTTTTAGACGAAAGGTAGACATTGGTCACCTTTGAATTTCAGGTGGGCTCATTTTTCTGTTTTTATTATTTTTCTTACTTAGATTTTTGTTGCATTTTAGTGAGGATTTGTGTTTGGTTTTATACGAACAGGTGATCACAAGATACCTGCGCACCTACATTGAAATAGAAACAACCAAAAAGAAGAGGGGGGTCAGCATTTGGCTTTTAAGAGAGGGTTTTTGGGAAAATTTTACTAGAGCTTGAGTGGTGGTACAAGGTACGGTGATTCAAGAAGACCCTACAACGAGGAAGACACTCCGTGACGAGTATTGGGACAAGACCGAAGAAGTCTTGGGACAGAGCAGTCTTGGGATAGTGGTCTTGGGACAGGGTCTTGAGACAGTGGTCTTGGGACAGGGTCTTGGGACAGTGGTCTTGGGACAGGGTCTTGGGACAGTGGTCTTGGGACAGTGGTCTTGGGACAGGGTCTTGGGACAGGGTCTTGGGACAGTGGTCTTGGGACAGGGTCTTGGGACAGTCGTCTTGGGACAGTGGTCTTGGGACAGGGTCTTGGGACAGGGTCTTGGGACAGGGTCTTGG